GAAAATAACACTTATCTCTAATTCCTCCCCAAGCAAACTCCTCGAAGTTCCTCTGAATCTCTTCCTTTCTTTACAGCACATAGAATTCCTCTTTGAAGTGGCAAGGAGGAAGAAATCTCTCACTTTTCCTCCACTCTTACAATCTCTCGAAGAATTCCTCACAATTAGACTCTCTACACACTAATGGGGCTCTTGGACGTTGTTCTAACCTTCCAACTCCTTCAACTCTTGAGCCTCCTCCTCTCATTTTCGGCCAAAGTCTTCTTTTAAAGATGTGGAAGAGTTTTTCTAAGAGTTGCCTAAACATCCCTCAAAAAATTGTCCACATTCAATGCATCTTTGGGCTGAGGGCGTCATCGGCGGCCTTGAGGGCGTCATCGGCGGGCCTTCTAAACTATTTAATCTGGAGTCTCAGAAAATTCTCTCCGTCGGCGCCGTTGGGCTGGCCGTCGGCGCCCTAGTTCAAATCTTCACATTTTGGTTCTTTTTGCTCCAAATTCGCTCCTTTTCGCATCGTTTTGCTCCAATGACCATAATTCATCATACCTGCAACAAAACATCAAAAATACATTTCTTTAAAGTACCATATCATCAAAAACAATGTAAAATAGGTATGAAAATCTCAACATATTTTCCTTTGGTCAAAATCCCCTAAACTTAACTATTACTTGTCCTCATGTAATTTTAGTACTATATAAAAGTTATGATCTATTGTAGTAAAGTTTTAATTCAGAAATACTATAAGTTTGATTTAAATAAATATCATAGTGAGATTTTCAAAAAAAAATTCAAGTAATTAAATTAACTCTATAGCTACAAGATTATCCAGTCATCAAGTTTAAGAGTTCTAGTCTTCTATTCATTTCAAGAATGACTGTATGCTATAATATTAAGTCACTTAGAATATTCAAATGATAGAAACTTCATGAGAACGCTACTAGTAAAAGATCTAATGCATAAATATAAGTTCAGGAATGTATTTAGGTTTTCCCTTTAGGTAGATCCAGTGAAGCCAATTTTTGATTAGGCATTATGATTGTATATTTGTAGTATTCTGTTGGTATACCAAAATACCATCAAAATAGCACAAAAATAACATTATAATAGAAACAGAATATCATAAGTATATCATTATAATACCACTAGAATATCATTATTATATTATCAGAATACCAACAGAATATCTCTAGTACTACAACAATACCACTATAATACAACAAGAATACCACTAGTATATAATCAGAATATCACAAGTATACCAATAAAATACCACAAGTATACCTATATCATACCATCAAAATATCATAAATATACTACTAAAATATGACAAATATATCAGCAAAATATCACAAATATACCACCAAAATATCACTTGAATACCACTAGTATACCATAAAAATATCACGATAATACAACTAGAATACCACAAGAATACAACCAGAATATCACAAGAATACCATAAAAATATCACGAAAATACAACTGGAAAACCACAAGTATACCACCATAATACAACTAATATACTATCATAATATCACCAGTATAATATCATAATACTACAAGAATACAACCATAATATCACCATAACTAGAATGCCACCAGAATACTATGAAAATATCACCATAATATAATATTTTTATGTGATAGGCAGTCTTCGGGTCGGGTGGCACAAAAAAATAGTTCTTTTCACAATTTTTTAATTCATAAAAGTGGGTTCTGCCACTTTACAAATAGTGTCGTATTATTGGAGTTCAGACAACAAACTGCATCCAAACTCCGGACAATATATTTTCTCTCAAAAAGGACCACTGATACTCCCTCATATAGCAAGTAGTAATTATAAAATCTTTGCTAAACTACATCAAAATATTAAAATAAAATTATAAGTAAAGTATCATAGTCTGATGACTAATCTCTATGATAAACTCAAGTGGTAAAAACAATTTATTGTGAGGTTCAATGAGACTATAGTTTCTACATCATATAATCCTCTGGTTTAAAAGTACATGACTCAAGTTTTGTTGTAATGATAATATCTGGTGGATGATACTCATAAATGTCAGAAATATTGAATGTCAAAGAAATGTTTGATATGCGATAGTGCAATAATATATGCATTTTTCTTGAGTTTTTCAGAGATAGGAAATTGACCCAATTTATGAGACTTGAGTTTTGCATAAGTGCCAAAATAGAACCATTCTTATCGTAGGTAGACCATGACATATTCTCTTATTTTAAATTCTTTGTAACACATTGGGCACTATAAATGAACTTGATTTTAACATCTTTGATAATAGCTGATAAACTAACAACTATATTTTCTACAACTTTGATTTTATATGGGGAAGGATTGTTATGTTCACAGTATGATTTGATACTTTAGTATGTAGATATATTTATTTGTGAATTATAAGTGAATTTAACTTAGCTTAACATATCATCGCATTATTTGGGTTGATCTCCAGCTAGACAACACACCATATTATTTAAGGCCCTTCTTATCACTCTTTTTTCCCATCCATTTGGGGGATAATAAGCTGAGCTCATTTGAAAGTTTGTACATAAATGTTTCGATCACTCCCGCAAAATAACTCATCATCATGATATCTTGATGCCAATATAAATGCATGAAGAATCTGCCATCAAACCATTGGAACAAGACAAAGCACCTATGAAAAAGGAAATTTTAGTTGCCTTGGAATATTTAATGAAGAATTCATATACATAGAAAAACATGGTATCACAATAGTCCATCTAACAGATCCCCAAGATTGTATGACTCATCAAAATAACTGGTCTCTGAATATGAGGGGAAAAGCCTAACTCATCAAATAACATCATTATAATATCTAATATTCTCTCAAGTGATCACATTCAACCAATTGACAAGCCATCCTGATCAGACATCAATCAACCCATTTTATATTTTGTTACCTAACTTTCTTATAAAGGTAACAACCAATTACTATAAAGATCTTCAATGCCCATAATATAAAGACAAGCCATTACTATCAATGTCAAGCTTAGAGAACCATGAGAATAAGACACATGACAAACATTTTATACCCTGCCTAAAACATTTTCACTCAAATAATAAAACACATAAGGAAATCGGTAATCAAAAGAACACAAGTGCAAAATAGGGCATCATCATAGCTGAAATGCACTACTCAAACAACTCTCAGAATAACTCTAATGATCAACAGACCGCTATCATAAACCAAAATGATATAAAGGACACAACAAATCGAAGAAAAAATTACCCCACTTATGGAATGATAAATTGAGAAAAAAATTAAAGAACAACAAAACTAGAGAATAATAAACCGACAATATACCGATTTCTCAACATAAAATCAAAGCTTAACAAACACTAATACCAATATGTCATTGCAAAATCAATGATTAATTTCAAACCGAAAAGCCAAATTCTCAGCATAAACCAAATCTTTCATAAAAGCCATTACTTCAGAATCATATATCATAAGAGTATGAGGAGAGGGAAGGGCTCAACCCTAGCTTCAGAATCTTAACAAAAACTAGAAGGAGAACAAGACGGAGATTTAAAGTTTAGCTTTTGATACCTTTGGAGGAGACAGATAACCAAACAAACAAGATGGATTATAGTAGCGAGGGGGAGAAAGGAGAAACCGCATGAAGGTAATATGGGGACAATACGGTAAAACACGAGGAGAAAGAGGGATAACAGGCAAAAGATACAGTGTAGAAACACTCATATCCTTGGTGGCATTTTCGCAAACGCCACCGTGAAAGCCACCCAAACTAATAAAGGCGCAGTGCTGAAATATATTGTTTTGCGGATGCCAACTATAAATCTATTTTAAAATACTTTGATTAGCGTTTTGTGGTTAAGTTGTGTAAATAAAAAATTATTTCGCATAAACTACATACAAAATAAGGAATTTAATGGTATACAATCACCATGTATTAAGTATTCATTTAAGTATTATCATTATACTAATGACATATGAAGTAAATAAGAGCAGACAGTACTATAGAATTATGCAAATAGAACACTCACTCGGTAAGTAGACATAGTTATACATTTAGCCCATACAGAGCTTCATGCATAAAGTTTGCACGTATTAATTATTCTCCATATTCAATAGATCAGAAATTTGATATTGCATTTTAGAACGGTAAAGCATTTATTCTTATAAAAATGATCATCGCCAACTAAACGTAAAGCTCCGGCTTATCCAACCTCACCGCCGGCACCGCAACGAGCTCCTCAGCCTTCCTTAAAATAGTCCCAAACTTCTCTCGAAGCTGGAGCAACGCACCCTCCTGCAACCCCCACTCAAAAGAATGCAGGAGAGAAGCCAAAGTGTAAATAACCATCTTCTCCGCCATTGCGATCCCCACACATACCCTTCTACCAGCCCCGAATGGCATGTAATAAAACTGATCATTCCCTCCAAGATGAAAATCACTGTTTTCCTTAATGCCTTTCAAGTGCCTCTCTGGTTTGAATTCTTCGGCATCTTCTCCCCATAAGTTCGGATCCCTGTGAATCCCCCACACGTTGATGAGAACGGTGGTTCCGGCTGGAACAGAGAAGCCGCCGACGGTGCAGTGAGAACTCGGGCAATGGGGGATGAGCAGGGGAGCTGGTGGGTGGAGGCGAAGTGATTCTTTTACGACGGCGGACAAGTAGCTGAGCTGCGGAATGTCAGATTCTTCCACGTTGCGCTGCTTTCCAACGACATCGTCAAGCTCTTGCTCAGCAATTTTCATTTTTTTTGGGTCGTTTAGCAACTCGGCCATTGACCATTCTATCACAGTGGTAGCGTTGTCGGTTGCGCCTCCTATAATATCCTGAAATGACAAATAATGAAGCAATTCATGCCAACAGTCTATGGAAAGATTAGAGAAATTTTGATCTGGCTTTAAATTTGTTTAGCGTAATGTCTCATTAGATAATGATTTAAGAGCAGAAAATTAGGGTTGTAAATGGTACTTGGTCAATATGCACGGCTTAAGAAATTTAACATTTTGGAATACAATAGAATGTATATAATTTATTAATTTATATATCACACTCATTCAAAAGAAAAAAATGGATAATTTTGAAAATCGTTCTGATGATTAATTTATTATCAGAATAAACTAATAGAATATTTGAAAAGTTTAATTATGTGCTTCCACATTTTGAGACGATATAGATTCAAAATTATATAGCACACAATTTTAATGTAATTAGATGTATCACACCTAAACATTTTTATATGCGAATATATCACTCAAATTTTTAATATCACAATAAAAATGACATTGCTATATGTTTAAAAAATAAAATACTCCTTTTAATGCAAAGGTTTAAAGCATTGAAGTGCTCCATTAATAAACCTATGCATTTAAAGGAGTAATATATATATATATATATATTTGTATATTGAAACTCTTACTAATGATATATATATATATATATATATATTTTGATAAGCCACCAACAAATTACATCGTCTGACATGAATTTCAAGATAATTTTTTAACAAGAAACATTCATTTCAATTAAGAGTCATCTAGAACTTCAATTTCAGCAAACTTATAGTCAAATTGGCCCGTTCAATGAGACGGACCTAATGATGTCAAAATTAGTCAAATTCTATTCAAATCAAGCTCAGATCTAGTCATTAAATCATATTTAGAAGATTTTTGGGCACATTTGAAAGGTCAAACAAATGTCGAATCTGACGAGTTCATAGTCGAATCGAGCTTCTCGACAAGACAAATCTAACGAGTCCAAGATTGTTCAATTCTGACATTGTTAAGACACACAAATTTTCATTAAACATCTTCTGATTGAAGAAAACTCTCCGGACATTCCCATTAAAATGGTTCATATGCTTGCATTAATTGCACCCAGAACACTATAGATAGAGCCACACCACTCTCATGAGTAGAGGCTTTAGCCTTGAGAGAGAACTTAAAGCATTGAGAAGGATATGAAGTTCAGCACCATCTTTTCCACCGTCGATCATTGTCGGCCACTGTCGACCACTAGCGACCGTCATCGACCATAGCCGACCTCCAACAATCACCCTCTACCGTCTTCGACCACCGCTGACCTCCGTCAACCACCACCAACCTCCATCGACCACCACCGACTTTCATCGACCACTGTCGACCGTCATAGGCAACCACCAACCCCCGTCGAGCACTGTTGTCATTGCTAACCACCACCAACCATGGTCAACCACCCTGACCATCGTCGATCACCACCAATCGTTGTCTACCAACACCAACCAAACGTCGTCAATCGACGTTGTAACTTGAAAAATTTAGTAATTATTTCCGGTATGTGGGACAAGGGTCTCTGCAATCATTAATTTATGGTTGATTTTTACAATCGGACTGGGCCCTATAGTTTTTACCCATTACGGGTTTTCCACATAAGAACTTCTGATTTCATTACTGATTGTTTTCTTTTACCTGAGTGTGTGTTGAATTCTCGTGCAACGCTTAGACGATACCATTAGTCTATCGCCGTGAATTTTCTAGCACACATCATTAAATTTTATATACATGTGAGTGGCACCACACGAGCCAGCTATAAATGGAACTACGGAAAATAAATTAATCCAAGGATGCAATAAAAATGAATTTGAGGAAAAAAAATTCCCAAGTACGGCTTCCACAAAAAGAAAAATAAAATAAAATTTGGCTTGAAGTCACAGCCAACCTTGACTTATATGTAGAAAATACTAAGTATTGGGTTAAGAATGTCGAAGAATAATTTGGCCGTCGCCTTGGTACTAATTATAGGCTGGCATTATTTTTAAATATCTTTTTAATTTATATGGATATCATTTATAATGCCTAAATAATCCAATATTTGGCATCTAAATTTTACCATTTACCTATATTATATTTAAATTTATAATATCACTAAAATTAATTTTTTTTTTCAATGTGTATTTTAATGTGATATTTATGACATTAAAGTATAATGTAAGAAAATAAAATTTAGAAATTAGTTATATAGACACATAGGAATTATATGGTTTCTTTGTGATTATAATTTATTAATAAAGATATTGAAATTTTAAAATAAGTCATTTGAACGATCCTATTATTCTCACAAAATTGAATAATAGATTATTTTTGTTTATTTCTAACAAATATAAAAATCATCAGATCAGTTTTAAGATGAATCAAGTATTTATTATTTATATATAACACCCACATTGAAATAGATTCAATGATTTTGAAATTCACCTTAAAATAAAATTTATATTTATATATATTACACCCCTAATGAGAATGTTTGTTCAAATTAATAAATAAATAATACTTGAATATTTTTAGGACTCTGATTATACGAATAAAGCTTGTATATGGTCCAAGTTATTTATAAAATTTTTAGAATAAATTTATTTCTTTAAAAACAAGTGTCTTGTCCTATGATGAATATTTGTATGATATTAAATTTCAAAAAATTGAATAATTAAATTTTATTTAATTATATATTTATTAATAATACATTATAATTTAATATCAATATGAATATAAATTAAACATTTTGTTTTCAGTTACATTTAATTATTTTATTAATATTTATTTATGTAATTATTTTGATCAAACAACTTCGAATGATGGAGCCAGGTTTGGAAATAATTTAAATTAGACAGAATTTTTTAATTATTTTAAGAAGTTTGAAAATAAATATAAGAAATAAATGCAGAAAAAAAAAATAAATGAATGCAACTTCTAAGGAAACTGTGGCTCAACAGAAAGCTGAATCAGCTGGAAATCAGTGAGTTAGCACTCGGCACTCACCACCATCAATTTAAAGAGGTCATCCATGGTGAAAGGCTCCTGCGGGTTCCCTTCCTCGACGATGTCCAGCAAAGCTTCCAACACGTCCCTGCTCCTCTCCCCACTCGCCATCTTCTCTTTCTTCTTCTCCGCGATCTCCTCCAGGTACTTATTAATCCACTCCGAGAGCTTCCTCATCCGCCGCCCTAATCCCTGTAGGTCTAGCGGCGCTACCACAGGGAAGAAATCCCCGACGTTGGGCGCCGAGAAGAGGTCTACAAGCCCTTCGATCGCCCGCCTAAACTCCTTCCCCTCGCCGCTGCCGGACACCGGTTCCCCCCACAGCATGCTTGTCGTCATGTTAAGTATGGTCAGAAACGCGGTCTCCCGGACTTCCACCGCCTCGCCCAAATTCGCCTGGTGCCATACCGCGCCCACAGTGCGCCGCATTTCCCGGCAGCGAAGTGGGGACAGTGCTTCGATGCTGGAGGAGCTGAGCATTTCTCGAACTGCTATTTTGCGCAGCGTGCGCCAGTGCTTGCCGTTGGGAGCCCAAAGCATGTCAAGATTTGAATTTCCGAAGTAGAAGAAAGCTGCGGCGGGGACGACGTGGTTTGCAAAGGCCGCGTCTTGATCTTTAAAGATCTCACGGGCGGCGGAAGGGGAGGAGATAACAACGCATAGTTTGGAGCCGAGGCGGAGGCTGAAGACATGGCCGTAGGATCTGGCTAGTCCAGCAAAGTAGCGGTGGAGGTCTGGCTTGAGGAAGGGAAGGTTGCCAAGGATCGGCAGGCCGGGAGGGCCGGGCGGGAGAGGAAGGAGTTGCTTTTCATCTCCATGTTTGCGTTTTAAACGGATGAGAAAGAGCAAAAAGATGGTGAGGGAGAGCGTTAGTAGTGCTGCTATTCCCTTATCAGTTGGGACGTTTGGTGGAAGGATCAGCGCCATCTCTCTCGCTCTCTCTCTCTCTGCTTCTGAAAGTGGACAATAAATAATATTTCAATTTACTTGCATGTCAAAAAAATTTAAAAACATAGGTTTAAATAATAAATTTTATGCTAAAATTCTATCGCCCCAATTTGATTTTAATAGAAGAAGAAAATAAAAATATTATAGGTTAAATAGTTATTCTTAGAGTAATAACAGTATAATATTGTAGATCCAATATTTTTTTCCTTTTTATTTTTTGAATTTAAATAAAAATAAAAGGTTTTCTTGTTGAAAAAAAAAAGATGCCCTTCCTGAAATTAGTACATATAATATAGATAATTTGTATATAATCATTTGCAGTAATCTTATTTCAAATATATGATTATTACTGCAATTAGATGTGGCACGTCGTTATAATAAATAATCTTTTTAGTGACAGTCTTATAAGCTGCATAGGAAAAAGTGCTGAAATCGACAGCAAAACCAACTACCTCAATTTGCATTAAAAAAAACTATTCTATTTTTCATTGATCTAGTGACGGTTTATGATCTGAGTTATTTGTGACGGCTTCACTAGAAGACAAGTCAGCGCTTGTCAACAGTAATATTTTTTTTCCGACAGTTTTAATTATGATTGATGCAATAAATCGACAACTATAAGCAAATATTAATCGACGGTCATACTTCATTAGTTATCTTTAAAGGCATGTCATCTGGCGAGATATTAACCAGCGTGTTTTTCTAAGAAGTGATAAAATTTCCCACCGGTAATAGTGTTTAGAACCGATGGATTTAAAGTTGTTTATAAGCCATCGGAAATAATCCATTATACTGCCAAAATCACTGCCCCCCACCTCTTGTCGAATCATCTGCCGAAGCTTTCTCTCTATTTCATCCAAAACCATCACATTCCTTACCGAAGTCATTTTCGTCTTCATGCTCCTGTCCTATCTGAAACGAACGTGGAAGGTAACTTCTCAGCTTTATTTTTGTTTTTATTTTCATTTCTTTGGAGGAATGTGATTAGGGTTTAAGGTTTATCTACTAGAAAGAGATTTGACCAAATATTTTCTTATGTGAGTTGGATTACATTAGGGATCAACTTTAAGCCCATATGTGCTTTACTTATGAATGCTCTAACTAGACATTTACAGGAGGATTTACCATGGTATATGCTTTTTGTCGGTGATATACTTCTTGTGGATAAGACTATAGAAAGAGTTTAGGAAAAACTAAAATTATGGAAGTTGACATTAGAGTCTAAAGGCCTTTGTTTCAGTAGATCTAAAATTGAATACATTAAATGTAACATGTAACTTTAGTGGTAGTAGCTTTCGTGGCAAAGTTGTAACTAGGGGTGATCAAATCATTAATGATTTAAATGTTTTACTTATCTCGGGCTCTTGTTTAAATTGATGATTATATAGATGGAGATATGATTATTGGATTTCAAGTTGGTTGGTTGAAGTGGAGGAATACATCCGGCTTATTGTGTGATAGAAAACAATGCTTAGACTTAAAGGAAAATTTTATAAGACGAGGTGAAATCCTCAATGTTCTGTGATGCAAAATGTTGGCCTTTCAAAGAGAAGAAAAAAAAGAAATCTAAGTTTTTGGGGCTATTTGCTAGCCGCTTTTAAGTAAGATTTACGTTAAAGTCAGTCAAACAACAGAAAAAGTTATCGCGTAAATCCTTCCCTCTGTTTCGCCAAACATTCCGTTTATGTAAAAATTGAAGTTTAGGTGTTATATAAGTAATTAATAAGAATTGTTTGATTTGTATATAAAAATTGCAGTATATGTGTTAGATACACAACACATAAAAAATTGTGGTTTGTACGTAAAAAATTATAGTTTCGGTGTTGCATATGTCGCGAGATAACTCTCTGGATTTAAATCATTCAGGATTTAGTAAATCTGAAATTACAAGATTTACTAAATTCTAATAGCTTAAATCTAATCCGTTGTCGGACAACCCTTCAACGAATCTATCTTTTCAAGGCCTAAATCAATGAGGGACTGTCTTGAAACGAATCTAAAGCTGGGTTTAACCTGAAAGCTCTAGAGTTCATGAACCTGGGTTCCATAGATATCAACTGTCAATCTCGGATTTAATAAATCGCACATACATTTGCAGGGTTTAATTTAAGATTATTAAGATTTAGTAAATTCGGGTTTATAGGATATATTTAATCCTAATAACTTAAATTTCATATGGAACAAATTCAAATCAGAGCACCTAAAATCTGGATATGTCAAATCTGAGTCTTTATTTTGAACAAATGATCGTCTGGTAAGATTTTTGTTAAATCCAGCTTGAATCCTGCTCTAAGGGCTTGTTTGGCTAAATGAATAATTTAATTTTTTAGGTGTTAAACTTATTAAGACGTGTTCCTCTAATATTGTATGCCACTATAGCTACACCAACCCTCTCACGAAAATATTTATTTTGATTTTTATTGAATTGAATAATATATCCTACAATAATGCTTGTATATAAGCAGAATACAACTAAAAGGTGTTTGATCAAATATTCCATGGATCCGACGATTCAGAGCAAGGAAATTTTCGAAAGGTTTGCTTCATGAAAGAATGCAAGGCCCTCTGAAGTAGGATAATCGCACGTGAATAACTTGAGGTTGACAGATGAGATGCTAGCCAATCGAATGTCGACCAATCAGAGGCCGGCTAACCAAAGGTTAGTCGACTGAAGGATGACAAACCAGAGTAACCCGACAAACCATATGTTGATTAGTTAGAGGCTAGCTAACAACAAGTAGATCAATCACGGGTCAACAAACTAAGAGTTTACCGATCAAAAGTCAGGAGTCATTTGGTATTTACCACAAATATTGCCCTCTATTAGGATAACGGCAAAATCACTTTCAAATTAAAAAATATATATATTCAAGAATTTTTAGGCATCATCACAACCAAACGTTTGAATAAAATATACCGACTTTATGTCTTTTTAATATATTTTTATATAAAAAACGGGTAAACAAAATAATAATAATAAAAACAAAACATTTCATTGTTGCTAATATTCAAGGTAGTGGGCCAACAAAAATTTCGTGGGTCGATCAAAAAGGCCGAAGAGCACATTCTGTTCGCATTTAACCGGGCCACCAAAAAACCGATACAGCTTTTCTCCTCCTCGCTGCTGCTCTTTGTAATCTTCCTCATAAACAACTTCGAAAGAAAGAAAACCCTAATGCAGAAAACTCTCCATGAAGATCTGAATCCTCCTCAGGCAAGCCTTTGCCCTTCTAATAGCCATCTCCGCCCTCTCCTCCGACGACTACCTCATCTTCTTCCCCATCTCCAAACCTGACCCTAATTCCTCCCCGCGCAATTCCCCCCCTCTCCTCTTCCGCCGATTCGACGACACTACAAATCAGCGGCGAACACAGAGACGAAACAATAAAAACGCGACAAAAATGGGTTCAATCGGAGCAGGTACAGGGGAAAACGAACCTAGCGTGCTGGCAGAGGGAGAGGTGGAGGAGGAGAGGAGATTGGATAAAGAAGGATCGAGATCGTAATCAGAGATGAGGGATTGGAGCTCGAGCTTCAGTTAATCGAATCGCGATGGATGATGAGCTTCTAAATTCTTCAGCTCTTCTTTGTCTCACTCTATCATCCAGGTATCTTCCGCCATCGTCTCTCTCTCTCTCTGTGATTGACTAGGAGGAGGGTGAGGCTAGAGAGAATCAGCCATGAAAGGAGCTTCGCGGAGCTGCCATTAAAAGGAGGGAAACCACGGCAGAGAATCGGGCAGTCGTGTTGAAGGGTAGACAGCAGGTGGCCTCGGAAAGAAACAACGGCGTCGATATCCGCGCGATTTCCGCCCGAGGAGAGGGCAAACTTGATTCAAGTGAATTTTGGAATTTAAAAATTAGATATTTAATTAAATTTTGATTTTTGAATAGTAAATTAGATTCGCATTGGAGAATATAATAAAAATTATTATATCTTATGAAATATTTACTTTAAAGAATATATTTTGAGGTGTGCAGTTAATCTCATATGAGATTTGTGGGGATGAGAATGTTTAGATTAATGATGAGCATTCTACTTGAAAAATAAAATGCAAAAGAAATAAACTCGTACAAGTTTTGGTATAGCTATGGTGACAAACAATACAAGTTCCAAAAGTTCGAAAATATTTAGACAGATTATCAATCTTCGACAACCATGAAAGCTTTGGTAAGTTGTTAGTCTTCTGACTTTGAGCTTAATTGTGGTCGGCTCGAAAGAAAATTAATGCAAAATTTCTGGCTCAAACTTGTGTCGTTTATTTTGATCCTCTCTTTATTCGACCCAAAATTAAAATCATTGAATTTTTGAGCGATTGTCATTTTTTGGGTTATCTAAAAAGTTCACTCATTTTATATTGTGTTGATTATTGTCCAATTTAATAACATGTTATTGTAGCTCTATTATTAGATCTACTGCAAGTTAGATTGTTTAACATTTTAATGATGTTAGTTATGTCTAACATCATTAATCATTTGGACATTGATTCACAATCCATTTAGACTGTTCTCTCTAATATTGTATGTCATTATTGCTACATCAGCGCTCTCACAAATTTATTTGTTTTTCTTAGGTGGATCGGTTGATTTACATTTATAGAGAAAATGTGAAAGAAGTACTCCTGAAAGAGTTGGTGCAATTATAGTGACAAATAAGATTATAGCTAAAATATGGATAAATGTTCACCGATTATTAATCTTTGATAGCTCTAACAGCCTCAGTAGGTTGTTAACTTTCTGACTTCAAAGCCGATACTCAATTGAACAATGTTAAGTCATTTGTACAACTTCGTTAGTAGATCTACTATGATAATTAAATACAAGTATTGCATGCACCAAAATGAGTTACATCAACCTCTCAATTCAAACCTTACAATTATAATCCTCCATTTTGGTTTGCACAAGTGTTGCTTTCCAAAGTATGAAAGAATAAGAACAATAATCTTTGGCAACCTTTCATATTCTTATCTTAAAATGGTTGCAAACA